GCAGCCCAGTGCCCAGGGGGTGGCACAGGTGTCCGAGAGCAGGGAAGGTGTGACAGCGGGCCGAGGGTTGGTTCAGTTCTCCAGCGCTAGGCTTTGCCAGGTGGGTAGAAGGTTGAGGGTAAAGGGGGATGAGAATCCTGGCAAGACGGAGGTTGACATGGTGGCATCCAGACTATCCCAGCCAGGGAAGGAAGGGAGTGCAGTGGGAGCTGATGGAGGGGAGAAGGCAGGGAGAGAGAGCCCCAAGTACCCGGAGTGGTGCATTTGGATGCGAAGGCCTGCTCCTGGGATCCAGCGGGTAGGGCTGATAGAGCCAGCTGATATAGCCTGTAGACTGTTCTCAAAATGAGAACCGCCTGGAAGGGGCATTAAGAAGGCAAGGCCCCCTCCACCCTGAGAATGGGAGACTAAGCAGCAGCAGGGGTTGTGGGGAGGGGGTCCAGGGACGATTGGCCTGCCCCTTCCTCAGCCCTCACCCCCCTCGCCCAGACATCCGCCTGGACTGGGAGACCTACACTCCAGAAGACAGGGAGGACCGACTGGTGGAGCTGCTGGTGTATTATGGGCCACCTTTCCCGCTGCGGGACCAAGCTGGGAATGACCTCTTGTGCCCGGAGACCCCTGAGAGCAGCAGCTCCTTCTGGTCCCCAAGCCCCTTCAGCGCGTTGGACTTCAGCCACGAAGCTGCCCAGGCTGTGAGCAGGGGTGGAGGGACAGGGCGGGTTGGCTGCTGAGTTGGGGCCAGTGAGCCTTGAGCCTGTGTGAGCCCCGGCGACTCCCTGATGACAGGCCGAGGACCGCTGCAGTGTCAGCGACAGGGCCCGGCAGAAGCTCATCTCCGTCGTTCTGCAGGAGCATGACGGGGTGCCCGCCGACCACCTGTACAGCATCAGCCCCAAGCAGGTGGTGAGTCCAGCGGGGCTGGGAGCTGCCTTGCAGAGTGCCGCGTTGGCGGGCGGGTGGCCAGGGGGTGGCACTGAGGCTGCCGTCTGTGCCAGGTGGTTCCTGCAGGGGGCAGCAGCACCATCTCCATCTCCTTCTCACCTACGGGCCTGGGCACCAGCATCCCGCACAAGGTGGCGTGCGTTGGCTACGCCCTGGGCTTCATGAGCTTGGACGATGAGGTGAGCCCTCCTGGCCCGGGGGGCATGCTGCCTCCTCAGCTGAGGGGCCACCGGCAATGAGGCTTGGGCTCCGCAGGTGGAAAGAGAGCTTCCGGGGAGGAGGCGTCGCCTGCAGGATTTCGCCGCGGGACCCCTGCGACTGGACCTGTGCAGCTACGTGCGGCCCGCACAGTGAGTTGGCAGGGCCTCCCGTTAGCCCCCTGTGGGGAGCACCTACACTCTGGGAGCAAGAGGATGGCAATGGGCGGGAGAAGCCAGCAGGTGAGCCCAGGCAAAGGCTGGCTAGGGCCAGATGAGCGGAGGGGGACAGCCAGGAGGCCCCTGGGGCTCAGCCGTGCTCCTTGCCGGCAGGCTCAGCGTGGAGGAGCTGGACTACGGTGGTGGCGTGGAGTTCCGGCACCAGGCCAGCGACCTCATCCCGGAGTGGCCCTGTACTGGGGTGAGTGTGCTGTCTCCCACCCCCGGGCCCTGCCGGTCTCCCCAGACCTCAGATATGGCCGTGAGCCCTCCTACAGTCCGGGTCCTCCTGCCCCCGAAGTGCCTCCACCCCAGAGCCATGGGATCCAGGAGGGGAAGAGATGCATCCCTGGCCTCCGCCACCCCTGTGGCCACCCAGGTGCTGAGTGAGCTGCTGACCACCCACCACCTGAAGCTGAGCAACACCACCGAAATCCCACAGTACTTCCGGCTCCTGGTCTCCAGGCCCTTCTCTGTTTCTCAAGAAGGGGCCAGCCGCAGCCGCCGAGCTCCTGGCCAGGAACGGGGGCATGAGGAAGAGCAGGCCACCGGCGGCAAGCAGCTGGTGCTCCACCCTCAGGAGAACATGCTGGTCAGTGGGGGCTCTGCAGGTGGTCACCCGGGCCAGGGGTCACCCTCCCCTCACGCACACGCACACGTGTGCACAGACGTGTGCACACCACCGTCACGCGCTGGTACACATTGGTGTCCAGACACCGCACACCCTCATGGCGTCCGCGCCCGCAGCCTCAGTGGGCGGGCCCGTCCGCTCTTCCAGGCTGCACTTTGGTGTGGGTGTACCGAGTGCCTGCCGCGGGCTAGGTGCCGTGCTAGGTGCCACACTCCCCCAGGGACCTCACCGTGGGGGGCGAAACAGCTATGGAAGACAGAAGGGCGGGGCCCCCTGGGGCTCACTTCGCCTTTGCTCCCTTCTTCAGAGGTAAGCTGAGGGGCAGACCCGAAGCACAGCCAGAGGTCCTGTTCCACCAGGGCACCCATGAAACCACAGGCTGTCGCCAAGTAAAGGTCCCTTTAAAATGCCTCAGGGAGCCCCAGGGCTCTTGGAGAGAGGACATTTCCTAACAGTACTACCTCGCACCCTCCATGGGCTGACGGAACCCGGGCATCTGGTCCTGAGCAGGATTCTAGCCCCAACTCAGTTCTCCATTGTCCTCGGCACCCAGTCCTGCCCACACCTGTGCCTCCACTCCCGCTGGGAGCATTTGATCTCAGCAAATACCACTGCCCCCGACCCTGTGCCCAAGCAGAGCCCTGGCATCCTCCTCCCCGCCCCCCCCGACCAGCCAGCCCCCCCATCCTGTTGTTGCCCTCCCCCGTCTCCGTGTCTCCCCACTCTCACCCCACACCCGCGGTCCTGGTCATGCCAAGGGGTAAAGGGCGGTTTGCGTGTAGTCTCCCCCTCGAGGTCCTCAGCTCCCGAGGGCAGGCAGGGCCCTGTCCCCAGCACTAAGGGTGCTGGGCACAGAGCGGGGCGCCGTGTCTGTGGACCGAATGCACCGCACGGGCTGCGGGGGCCGGGCCGGGCCGGCTCAGTCTGGGCTGGCCCCGCAGGCTGCGTGTGGGCAGGAGCCGAGCTGGGGCCTTGCCCGGCAGTGGGGGCCGCGGAGGGAAGGACGACGGAGCTCCAGGTGGGGAAGCCGCCGCTGGCCTTCGGCAGCCTCAGATGACAGGCTTGTTCACATCTGCTCAGGTGAACGTGTCCTTCTCGCTGTCCCTGGAGCTGCTCTCCTATCAGAGGCTCCCGGCTGACCAGATGCTGCCCGGAGTGGACATCCGGCAGCGCGCCAGTGGGGAGAAAGAGATGGTGTTTACTCAGAACCTGCTCCTGGAGTACGCCAACCAGACCACTCAGGTGAGTCCCAGGCCTGCCCCATGTCGGAGAGGGCAGAAACGGGCCAGACTCTGTTCCCGTGGGTCAGAGGAGGGCAGACCCCGACCCGGCCTTCCGAAATCAGAGGAGCCCCAGGCCTCGCCCTGAGGGCCCCGTCTGCCCTGGAAGAGGCCTTTCCCTGAGGACACACGTGGAGAAATGAGGGTCATCCTTCCTTACCCAGCTCAGCTCAGAACCAGGTGAGGGGCCCTGGGGTGGGAAATAGGGAAGGCTTCCTGGAGGAGGTGCGCGCGGCACGTGAAGCCTCCCAGCTGGAAGGTACAGGTGAGGAACAGAAAGGAATAGCCTAAGGGCTGGATTCCAGGGAGGCCCGAAGGAAGAATCCGTTTGTGACCAGGCAGGCCCTCCAGCTTGGTCCTTGGGCGGCTGCTGGGGCCCAGGGGCGGGAAGGCTGAGCTGATGAGGTGTGTATGGCGGTGCCTGAGGCTCTTGTGGGGGGACCGCCAGGAGCGAGGATGGGTCAGCACACAGGTGGGGCCTGAGGCCAAGGGAAGAGGTGAGATGGCCCAGAGCCCAGGAGGGGCAGAGGGCTGGGCCTTGGGACCCCAGGGGCTGGGGGAGGAGGGGGAGGGCAGCCTGACCAGGGAGCAGAAACCACCGAGCTTGATCAGGGCAGGGGGAGGGGCGGCGGAGGGAGAGCAGATGGCGTCTTTGGGAGCCTTTACCGGCGCAGACCCCCACCGGCCGTGGTTTTAGAGGCCGGCGCCAGCCCCCTACCACTCGCTGTGGTGCTGCCCATGTGTTCCTCCGAAGCTTCGGGACTTGGGGTCAGCAGGAGGGCACGAGGGCCCCACACTGCAGGCTCTGTCCCCCTAGGTGGTGCCCCTGAGGGCCACGGTGGCCGTGCCCGAGCTGCAGCTCTCCACCAGCTGGGTGGACTTCGGGACCTGCTTTGTGAACCAGGGACAGGTCCGGGAGGTCTACCTCATGAACCTGAGCGGCTGTCGGAGCTACTGGGCTGTGCTGATGGGTAGGTGGTACCTGCGCACCACTTCCCCCGCAGGCCGGCACCACCTGGGGGTTGCCGCAGATGGCCGGTTCCCAAATCCCATGTGACCCCAGGGTGCCTCGCCCCGTAGCACCGGGCCGGACCAGAGGTGTGCACCTGAGCGGCGGGGCGGGGGCTCGCCGGGGCGGTGCACGGGGCTGCCTATGCTCGAGCGTGCTCCCTTCCCTCGGTGCAGGCCAGCAGGAGCCGGCCAAGGACCCTGCGGCCTTCAGGGTATCTCCAAACAGTGGGCTGCTGGAGGCACGACTGGTCAATGCCCCCCCAAATACCATCACCCTCCAGGTTTTCTTCACTGCCAGGTACTAGCCTCTCCCAGCCTTGCCCACAGTCCAGAGCCCCCTTCCTAACCCCAATAGGTGACCGCTCCCAACCCCACAGGAGCAGTGAGCTGTATTCGTCCACGCTGGTGGTGGAAGGTGTGCTTGGTGAGAAGGCCTGCACCCTGCGGCTCCGGGGCCAAGGCTCTTGTGACGAGAAATATGTGTCACCCCACCAGCTCTGAGGCTCTACCCTCAGCCCCCTAGCTTTGCAAATAAACCATGACCTAGAGCTAAGGACCAGGTTTGCTGGGCAGGGGTGCACGCCGGAGGACCCCCCAAGCAGCTCCGGGGAGGGAAGGGACTCCCTGGGAGGGCAGTGCCCTCAGCACACAGCTGGGCTAGAGGCAAGACCCCGGACGGCCAGAACTGGCCCTTGGGAAACACCACAGCCACCAAGATGAGAATACATATTTATTGTCCGCTGCACTCCTCACCTCCAGGACCCACACGGTGGCCTGGGTGACCTGGCAGAAGGCAGGCCCGTACTGTGTCACCAGTGCTCACGTTCATCACGGTGCCACCTCCACCACCACCACCAGGGCAGAACTAGGTGGGGCCTTCCTCAGTTTCCGGGGTATTCAAAGACAGCAGCGGCTCCCATCCCGGTCCCGATGCACATGGACACCACCCCGTATGCCCTGGGGAAGCAAGATTATGTTGGCTGGGCGAAGGCACCAAGGGCCAAGGCCTCACCACTGAGCTCTCCCCAGACTGCCCACTTGAGCCAACACACACGGTGGCAGGTACTTGCTGGAGGCCAGGGTGCCCTTCCCGCTGGCCCCCAGGGAAAACGGGGGTCACGGCCCTGTGTCCTCCATTCAGAGTGTGTGTGCATGTATGCCTGCCCCTCAGTACCCCAGCTGATTACCTCTTCCCACGGCGCTTCAGTTCATTGAGGAGCGTGATGACCTGTCGAGCTCCGGTGCAGCCCAATGGGTGGCCCAGGGCCACTGCACCCCCCAGAGGGTTCACCTTTTCGGCGGGGAGTCCTAGCTTCTCCACACAGTAGACGGCCTGGAAGGAGGCAGAGCATCAGCTACAGTTCCCTCCCCAACCCCTGTACCCAATGCCCACTGGCTCCAACTTGGCTATCCAAGGCCCAGGCAACACTGAGAAAGGAAGGCTCACCTGGCTTGCAAAGGCCTCATTGATCTCAAAGATGTCCACGTCATTCACCGTCAGCCCTTTGGGTCGAGGGAAAAGACCTGAGCTGACCCAGTGTCCCCATCCCAGGCATGGCCTAAAGGCTGCTTGGTGTGTCTAATCCACATGGGCAGGTGGGTCCCAGCTGTGAGGTCAGGAAGGGCTTGGGGTACAGGGGCTGGCCTGACCCACCTTCACTCTGCAGCACTCACGTGACCGCCCCCCACACCAGCACCAGCACGACAGGCAGGGGTGGGACACAGATGCAGATTGCGAAGGAACCACCTTACCTGCTTTTTGCAAAGCTACAGGGATGGCATAGGCAGGTCCAATGCCCATGATGTCAGGTGGGACTCCAACCACCGCATAGGACCTCAGGACCCCAAGGATGGGAAGGCCCAACTCTTCTGCCTTGGACCTCCGGGCCAGTAGGAGGGCAGCTGCCCCATCACTCACCTGACTAGAATTTCCTAGAGGCAAATCGTGCGGGTTAGGACACATGAGGGCAGGGCGGAGGAGCTCCACCTGCACACCTTGCCTGGGGGCTCCAGGCTCCCAGAGAACAGCCCGCATGGACACTGCCCCTCCTGGCCCTCCCCTAGCCCAGTCTCACCAGCCGTGGTAGAGCCGCCCTTCTTGAAGGCAGGCTTCAGTTTGGCCAGGCCCTCCATGGTGGTGTTGGGGCGGATACCCTCATCCTGGGCCACGGTGATGCTCCTCTCGGTGCCCTTGTCATCTTGGACCGTGGTGGTCACAGGCACAATCTCAGCTTGGAAACAGCCCTTGCTCTGGGCTCTGGCTGCCCTGCCAGCACCATGGACAGCCAGGCTCAGGCTCCCTTGGGGTCCCTTCCTCCCAGGGGTCCCTTCCTTCCAGGGGTCTCTCCCACTGCCTCTACCACCCCTGCCCACTGGGGCAGACAAGCTCAGGCTGCTAAACATGGGGACACGCTCGCCTCAGGGGAGCTGAGGGCCCCTCTTCCCCAGCCTGGGAGTGGGAGGCCTGAAGCCTTATGGGGCCTTCTTTGCCATCAGCCTCCTATCTTCAGATCCTGGCCAATCCCAACCTTGAAGGGCAAGGGGAGGTTTAGATGTGGTGCCTCCCCCTTTGAGCCCTTCACCCAAGAGGGACTGAGCCTGCTCAGTTCTCTGGGCCAAACTGAAGACAGAGCCCCAGGAATATTTGTGCTGGGTTCTACCAACTTGGCTCTTCTATCCCAATGGCTCAATTTCATCTGTTCCCCAGTTTCCACACATTTAAAATGACATACACTAAACTATGTAATGAATCTTAGTATTTAAACAGTACAAAAGCACAAAGTGTTTTTAGGGTGATCCTTGCGATCATATGCAAGATATCAGCGACCAGGGGTTTCCCCTGGGGAAGATTCCACAGTTTTCACCAAGTTTTCAAATGCTTCCTTGACCCCAAGTGCCTATGAACCACTGCCTCAGAGAAGCCCACTCCCTTCTTGTGCTGTCACCTCTGGGCATCTGGGGCTTGTCGACCTCAGCCTGCCCCTGCCCAGAGGCCTGAGCTCCTGGGGGTCTTCTGATGCTACCCCAGACCCAGGAGTGGTCCAGAAGCTGGGATGCCAGGGTCCCCAGCAGTGCAGGCCCTATAACCCAGGCTATCTAGAGAAGCCTATGGCTGCCATGTCGAATCACCAAACCACAGACAATCAGAGCAGAGTCCTGGCCCTCGTTAACACTCCTGATGAATAGATGGGGAAACTGAAGCCCAGCTAGGGAGAGACTCAGGGTGAGTAGACAGTAAAAGGACACAGAAGAGCTACCAACGCACTTCCAGCACGTCCTGGTCCCTGCCCACCTCTCCCTCCTGGCAGGTACTAGGCTTGGAAACCACTCACTGCCCAGCTGTAGCCAAAGGGCAGCTCCACCTGAGGCCACTTAATCTAGCCTCAAAACCTCACTCTCTAGCCCCTTATGCACTCCCCACCCCAAACAGCACTCACTTCTGCTGGGAAGCCAGGGCAAATGTATCCTGCTTCTCCCGTGAAATGCCGAACTGCTCAGCTACGTTCTCCGAAGTTATCCTAAAACAAAACCAGCACACCGTGGGGACGTGCCCAGCAGCCTGGGGGCCTGGGCCGGGCCGCAGAGCTCTGCTTGCAACTCTGGGTCCCTGCGGCAGTAGGCAGGGGAGGACAGGAGGGCCGGGCCACGCCATGGAGACAGATGACTCTGGGTGGAGTGTGGGGGCATAGGGAGGGAGGCAGCAGGGCTGGCCGGACCCCAAGAAGCTTGTACACCAGAAAGGCCAGCCCAGCAGAGGGGCAGATGAGGGAACAGGTGGGGACACGAACGGGTTACCCTTCACCAGCTTCTCCTATGCCTTGAGGAAAGCTGCTCTCGGGGGCAGGGGAGAAAGCCCCACCCCTCCAGGCTTCCTGCTCACTGTGACCAGAGCCAGCCCTCACCCTGGGGACCCACAGCCGCAGCTGGACCTTCCCACCTGGGCTTCTAGCTTTAGAGATTTCCCTGGGAGGTGGGGGTCACTGGATGTGGATGCAGCCAGGGCACTACCCCTGTCTTGAGCCTCAAATCTCACCTTCAGGGGAGCCATGACTCCCTGCTTACGAACCTGGGGGGGATGGCCCAGAGGCTCAGCGACGTTGGCTGCAGAGCTAAGGTGCCGAGCAAATGCAAGGCACTGTGATGTTGCATCTGACAGGACCCAAGCCCCCTCACCAGTGTGTTCCAACTCAAAGCCCTTCCACTTGAAGGTCCTAGGCCTCCAAGACTTCGGCATGCAGCTGCCATCGTTCCTTGTGTGACTGGCCCCTCAGGGTGGGAGTGACAGGCTGGGCCATGACTGGAAACCCAGAGGCACAGAGGACCTGGAGGCCTCAGGAATGGGAAGTCAGGGGCAGCAAGTCCCATCCCCATGGCCCAGCAAAGCAGAACAAGCCCGAAGGCAGGAGGCCACCAGATGATCCAAGTCTCTGTGCGCCTGCTCCAGGCCACGAAGGGAGCTGAGGGGGCACACTCACCCCATAGGAATCAGGCAATCTCTGGCCTTCTCCTTCTCCACCAAGCGCGAAGTGATATTTCCCGGGTTTCCCCTGTCAGCCAGGGACATGGACTCCACACTGAGGAGGCAGCAGAGGAGGTAGTCACTCTCAGGACCCCGCCAGGGATAGCTATGGCTCTGGCAAGTGCTGGGAAATAGCCAGGGGGCCCTGGGAAATCCAGCAGGCTGTCTGGGAACCCCGGGCAGGGCCCTGGCCAGCAAGGCAGAGCTGGGGTGCAGGGCTGCTGGCGCCCTCCACCCCCACGCCACGGCAGAGCGCTGCATGGCCCACACCCCCAGGCAGGCTACGCCTCCCTATAACACAGATGCTCCCGCAGCCGGCCAGTCCACAGCTCCCAAGGAAAGCTGCCTAGTGCAGGCCACGACCAGGCAGCCGGGCTGCGCCCTCAGGCGCCACAGGTTCAGAGGGCAGAAGAGCCAAGTATTCTAAAAGCCACAGATCAAAGGGCCTCTGAACTGCACTGACCAGGAGGTGCTAGGAGCTCAGAGGAAGGCAAGATCTCAGTTTAGACCGGTCAAACAGGCCTACAAGGGCTGGGGGTGGGGGACGGGACCTGGGTGGTGGAGTCGGTTAAGCGTTCAACTCTTGGTCTTGGCTCAGGTCTGATCTCAGGGTCGTGAGATCGAGCCCCAAGTCCAGCACCAAGCTCAGTGCAGAGTCTGCTTGGGTTTCTCTCTCGCTCTCCCTCTGCCCCCCTAGCCCCTGGCTCGGGCACACATGCTTTCTCTCTCTCAAATAAATAAAGCTTAGAAAAAAAGGCCCTCACGGAGATGCAGGTACATAGGGCCTCAAGGGGTAACATGTAACTTCGAATGCTTTTCACATGCCCTGTGCTATTTGATAATCTTTTCAGATATTAGAAAGCTTTCAACATCAGTCACATGACATATGTCCCAGAGTGGTCCTGCTGTTATTACTGCATTTAATATTATCAACTTCAACAGGACTGAGGTAGTTATCCCCATTTTATATACGAGGACACTGAGGCCCAGAGAGCTGAGTAACTTGTCCACAGTCACTCAGCAGGGATCCAAATTTAGGTGTCTGGCCCCAGAGCCCATTCTCAACCAGGATGCCCTGGGCATGATCAAAGCCTATGGGGGAAAATCTTGGCCCAGACCCTCAATACTCTAGAAACATAGTCTTTAACCTGCCTGGGATGGCCTCTAAAGAACTCATGAAGACTCCAACCTTCTCCTCAAGTTACCCACACCTGTCCCTCCCCCAGTAAGATAGAGGACCATGAAAGAAATCAAAGGACAGACTGGCAGCGGCCCTTGCCTGGCCGAAGGCTCTGCAGTGTGGTCTCTGGCTTTATTTACAAGCGCAGACAACCAGTGCCAGGCAGCACAGCCCCGAGGCGGCCCAACAACACTCCAATCAAATGCTACAAAGAGGAAATGCAAGAGAGAATGTGTCAAAGTCCTGGGGCTGCTCGCCTTCCAGAGCCCACCAGAGCCCTGGCTTTGCCTGCCTGTCCATACCAGATGCCTACCCCAGACTGGGCCCCAGGGCCCTTCCCCTCCCTGGAGGCACTGCCTAGTATGCCTTCTGTGGCTCCAGGTGCTACAGCCGAAGACACAGCCGCAGCTGACAGTGACCAAACCACCGCAGATCTGACCATGCTCCTCGGAGCCGGCAGGCAGCTGCAAGTTTCTACCTTGGTACCAAGGAGGGAGTCAAGGGGACTGACAGCCTCATAAAATGAACGACTAGTCATATAGTAGGCAACTGCTACTGGCTTTAGGGAACCAAAACCGCAACATCTCTCTCAATAGCATCATAAATCAACAAGGGCCACACAAAGAAACCCAAGGGCTATACTTTCTCAAAATACTTGCATTTTCCAGCCTGACAAATTTCCAAGAAAGCAAGCTTTCAAAAGTCAATTCCCTTTTCCCACTAGTGCTGAGAGGTGTGAGCAATTCCTGAGCACCCAGAGCTGGGGCCTTACTTCTAAGCTAAATTTGTAGGAACCTACTCCCAGCCATCTGCCTAAAAGGGCCAGGGGAGAGTCCTGCAGTCGTGGCCTCTGAGAACTCAGGACATGAAAATTAGTTTCATTATTAGAAGTTGATTAGTAAGCTCTGGCAGAAAGAAATTCTTACCCACAAGCCATGCCAATGTCATAAGACCCATTTCTGATGCCACCTGCAACAAAAGCATTTCATAAACATTCTTTATCAGAGTCCTTCTGTTCTGGAAACAGAGGAGCCTCTTCCCCACCTGGTCTCTAAATGTGACTCAGCCCCAGCCTCAGAGATGGTAAGACCCAGGTGTCCAAAATGGCTGGGTGCAGTGGCAAGGGGCTCTCCCAGAGAGTCCTCTCAGAAATCCCTATTGCCTGCCCAAAAGACAGTGACCTTGCTGACCCAAATCCAAGGAGCCAGGACCAAGGCCAGGCTGTAGCAGGGGGCACCCACCCCATCACAACTTACCAGCAATGTTGGCCACTGCTTGGAGCCCCGATGAACACTGTCTATTGACAGTGGATAAAGGCACGGTCTCTGGGATGTCACTAAAACAGAAAGGGAAACCACAATCAGCCCGCTCTCCTCTGCCAGGCTCTCAAGGAAAGCAGGCCTATGCTCCTGGTCAGTAGGACTGTCCCATCAAGGGGTGCAAAACCAGGGGAACAAACCAACAGCCCTGTCACCACTCCAGGCCAGATCCATACTGGGCAGACCCCATCTCTGCAGGTACTTGCTCCCTAGGGCCCCACAAACACATGCTCTTTCCTCCTGAACAGCCCAAAGGCAAGGAAAACTGGTTGGGCTACAGGGATCCTTCTTTCTCTCCCTTTGAAGATTTAAAAAAAAAAGGAAAACTATATATCCATTTCCTCCAAACAAATAGAGAACAGGATCTGTTGCTGGGACAGAGAACCAGGGCAAATAAAATAAAATAAAAAAATGAATGAATGTCTCAAGCATGAGGCCAGAAACCATCAGCCTTACCAGTAACTATATACCTAACCCTTTATGTTCCTAGTCTCTCTGGAAGGTCTGTTCCCAGCTGGACAAAGAACCCTTGATGGGTACCAAGCATTCTAACATCCCTTGTTTGGGTGTGTTCCCCTAGGTTTCCACACTGCTCCCAGTCCTAGAAGCTGATGGGGCTGTCCCTCCTGATGTAACCTGCCCTGACCAAGGGTACTAAACCCTGGGAAAATCTCCAGGCCCGCCTCAGACCCATGGACTCAGAACTTCAGGGGGTGACTGTGCTCTGGTGTGCAGCCAGGGTCAGCAATCTGTGAGCTAGTGCCCAGGCCAGGCTCTGCTGAGAGCCTCTCAGGTGGGTAGCCTCCTAGGCCCATGCAGCCTATGTAACCCTTCCCAGGTCTCCTAATTCCTTACCAGCTAGTTACTACCTAGTTACCACCTCTTCACCCAATCTACCAGCTGTTCACTAAACACCTGCTCAATACAAAGCACCACCTGAGGAATACTGACATGCCCTAGAGGATGGCTGACCAACACAAAGAAAATGAATCAGCTAGCAGAGACTGAAATAACAGTGCAGAGAGAGGAGGTAGGGACAGCACTCCAAGGGGACAGAATGACCAGCCCAGGGAAGACAGTGGGCAGAGAGGCCGGCTGAAAGAGGAAAAGTCAAGAGGCGCCTGGGTGGCTCTCTTCCTAATAAGTGGTCAGTTAAAGTTAGCTCCTTGGGACGCCTGGGTGGCTCAGTCATTAAGCGTCTGCCTTCAGCTCAGGTCATGATCCCAGGGTCCTGGGATCAAGCCCTACATCGGGCTCCCTGCTCCGTGGGGAAGGCTGCTTCTCCCTCTCCCACTCCCACTACCCCTGCTTGTGTTCCCTCTCGCTGTCTCTCTGTTAAATAAATAAATAAAAATCTTAAAAAAAAAAAAAAGAGAAAAAGTCAAGGCAAATGAACAGCTGGGAGATAAGGCTGGATGTTAAGTCCGGAGCCAGATAGAGGGAATCCTTGATCTCCACGCTAAGCAGTCCAAACCTATCCTAGGCCCTAGAGGTTTTGTTAATTTTCCTGTTCCTTCACTGGCTAAGGTTCCTATTATTTCTTTTCCAGGTAGTAGGGAGTGCAAATTTAAGTGGTTCTTAAATCTACACATGACAATAATTTAAGCACTCCTCCCTTGTCTTGGGACAGCAAGTGGTGAGGGGCAAGTTTCCCAGGGCCCCTCCTGGGCTACCCCTCACCCCAGGGTTCTGCCACATCCCCAAGTCTCAGCTGATGTGCTATGCCTTGAAAGTCTCAGCTTGCTCAACTAGCTTTAAGAAGCTCAAAGTCACTCTTCAGTATGCCTTTCTGGTTACCTGGCAAAAAAAGGAGAGTCCACACTTACAAAGGCAAAACAACAAGCTGACTTTAGCTAAATCATCAGGCCACAGAGAGCTTTTGCTCTAGTCTCAAAGGCCCTGTTGGTCCTGGTTCAGCGTCGATAATGCAACCTTCCTTCAAAGTAGGGCAAGGGCACCTGGCTGGCTCAATTGGTAGAGCATGCAACTCTTGATCTTGGGGTCCTGAGTTCAAGCCCCACACTGGGCATAGAGGTGAAAGAAAAGAGAAAAGAGAAAGAAAAAGAAAAAGAAAAAAAAAGAAAAGAAAAGAAAAGAAAAGAAAAAAAAGACAATGCCAAAGTAGGGGAAAGGTAATGTCCACAAAAGCAGGGTGCCAAGGACCCTGGCTGCATCCAGGTCTGGCGTCCAACCTGATCCTCTTCCACTCATAAGCCGAGTTCCCTGGTGCCTGAGGTCTGCTCGAGTCAAACCGGCCAACACACAGCTAGAATTAGAGAAGTTTACCTCAGAAACTGAGCGATTCGGGCCATGATTGCTCCGGCCCCCGGCTGAAGCACATTTCCTGTGGACAACAAACCTTTATTCAGTGCCAGATAGTGTTCTAGACACTAAGGTACAGTTGTGAATAGTAGAAAGGGGACATTCCAGATCTTTCTTCAAGCTCCCAGCAGCCTCCCTTGGAGCTCTGGAATTTGAAGGAGCCCGTCATACAGCAGCTCGCCCCGGTCATACAATTAAACCCAGTCCCCAGGCGTTGCAAGCTCCCTTGACCTGCACCCTCCTTTCCCAAATCAATGCACAGAGGGCAGGAACGCTGCCTGCCTTTAAAGGAAAGATGGAAAGAAGACTGTAGCGCAAAGCTTGCAGTCAAACGAACTGGTCTTGTCAGGAAAATGAATTTCTGAAAACACACACCTCTCTGAGTGTCCTCAGCCAAACCCTGCTGGCATTTCAGACGTGGAACAGTGGTTCCCCACCTAAGGATGGCCCCTACTTGACAGGAGTCTGGCCCTGTTCTGTTGTTTCCAGGCCAGAGGAGTAGGGTTGGAGGTAAAGGGTTGGACTGAATGTCAAGGGGTCCTGATTCAGGTCCAATCTCTGCAGCAAATTTCCCAGGACCTATTGTCTCCATCTGTGAGGGCGAGGGGCTGAACTACATGGTTTTTGATGGTCCTTCTGTTCTGTGGTGGCACAGGCAGGATGGGTTTGAGAACCTTGACCCCTGTCTCCTACGGTGTCCGCAAACTCCTGTGCCTGGGTGTTAGAACGGCATGGAGATCGCTGCTTTCCATCATACTTCACAGGCAGAACGCAGTTGGGGAGGGGGCAGAAAGTGCCTGGAGGCAGGAGGGAAGGGTAGGACCTAGCCTTAGCCTCCGTGCACTGCATGGAGTCCCTTGACATTCCCCTCAGTGAAAGCACCTGGAAGATGCCTGGAGGGTGAGGAGGTGTTTGAGGACGGCTTTGGCCGGAGGGAGGGGGAGGAGGACCAAGCCCAGGGCCTGGGCAGTGTGCTCACCCACGCAGATATCCCCCAGCTGGGCCGGGCTCAGCTTCACGTCCCGGAGAACCGCGGTCATGACGGCCGAGAGAAGCTCGTCAGGGGTGGTGTCCTGCAGCGGGAGGCGCGGCCACGGTGATCCCCCGCCAGCAGTGCACGGGGGTCCCGGGACCTCCGCTCCCCCACCCCACCCGAGAGACACAGAGGTCACAGCTCGGGCGCGGAGGCACCTTTGGCGCCGAGGGCCCAGACCCCAGCCCGCTCAGGCCCGCCGTCTCCTATCCGGCGCCGGGTCCCAGGGGCCTCACCTTGAAGCCGCCGCGGCCCCCTCGGCCAATGGCCGTGCGCCGCCCGTGCACCACCACCACGTCGTCGGCCGACACCCGCGGAGCGCCGCTCAAGCACGGCGCGGCCTGCGGCTCCGGCATCCCCCCAGAATGGGGGTGGCCCGTCAGGTGGCCTAGCACCACCTGCAGCCTCCGCATCGCGTGACACGGCTCAGTAGACCCTCCCCCCACCACTCCGCCTGGAGCGGCGTAGACGCAAAAGGGACCTGAGCCCGCGCAGGCGCGGAACCCACGCTGCCCCGACGCTTTAACTCTGCTCAGAGCCCCGCCCCGAAGTCTCGCCCACCTCCCACCTCAGCCAACCAGAAGGGGTGGCTACACCTCAGGTCCCGCCCCCTGCTTCTAATCAAACCACTTAAAGCAGAGCTCTTGTTTTGATGGCGAGTCTTTCCCCTCAAAGCCCCGCCTGCTGTAGCCCCTTCCAAAACCCCGCCCAGAAAGACCCGCAGGAAACCTTTCCCCTCGCAGTCCTGCTTGTTTAAGAGTCCTCTCAGAGTCTCGTGTTTTTTGTTTTTTTTTTTTAAGATTTTATTTATTGGGGCGCCTCGGTGGCTCAGTCGGTTGAGCGTCTGCCTTTGGCTCAGGTCATGATCCCGGGGTCCTGGGATCGAGCCCAGCTTCCTGCTCAGTGGGGAGTCTGCTTCTCCCTCTGCCCCGCCTCTCCGTTTGTGCTCCCTCTCGCTCTCTCTCTCAAATAAATAATCTTTAAACAATTTTTACTTATTTGAGAGAGCGAGCCTGAGCGCATGAGCTGGGGGAGAGGCAGAGGGGGAGCGGGAGAATCTTAGACTCCAAAATGAGTACCATCCCCACTTGGGGTTTAGATCTGTAGGCGCTGAGATCTTGATCTAAGCTGAAACCAAGAATCAGAAGCTCAACCGACTAAGCCACCCAGGCGCTGCATAGCCCTTTCAGTATCTTGAAACAAAGTCCGCCATTGCCGGGGCTGTTTCCCCTATAACCCTGCCCACTGCAGGCTACCAAACCCAAGAAGAGGAGCCGGCCAGCACCACCCCCCAACCCGCCCGCCCACGGCTTCCTGCTTGGGAAGGAGGCAGGGACTCTTAATTCCTCTTACCCCCTTGTTAGTTTTCTCTGCGGTCTCCTGCATCTCAGCACTCAAGCTGAGGATCTTAAGTAATTCCCAGAGGCCCCAGACTCTCCCCGACGTGCTTGCGCTCTCTTGGGAAGTCTTTCGAGAACACAGAGGGAACTGGGGACTCTGGTGCAGCAAGAGAACAGACTGTATTAAGTTGCTGAGATGTGACAAACTCCCTATCCCTATTCATGCATTTATCAATTTTACAGTAGTTTGGGTTTAATTAGTGCCCACCTCCCACACCAGGCTGGGGTCTCCACCGAGGCAGGGAGGGGCTTGTATCCGGGGTGCCTGCAACAATGCTTGACACTTAGTAGGTGATCAATACCTATTCAATGGAAGACCAGAGCTCCTCAGGTCAGGACTGTGTTTCCCAACCTCCAGCCCCCCACAACTCTAAAGAGCAAGGCCAGGTGCCCCCTTGACTCCCAGTGGTAATGTGTTCCCTCGACCCCAGAGAGTGGTGGTACTGCGTTTCTCCTAGACACCAAAGGCCAGGGTGCCCTGTTACCCCCAACCCCAGAGGGGTTCCCACCTTTCAAAGGCAGGGCCATGGCATGCCTCAGACCTCAGAAGGGAGTATACTCTTTCCCACCTCACCTCTGGATTGTGCCTTCCCAAGAGATCCAGGGACGAGCATGGTGGGGGGGGGGGTGATGTCTCCTCCTTTGCCCCCTCCCCGCCATCCTCAGTTCCCCCACAGAAAGGATGTGATTCTACCAGATAGATCCCAAAGAACAAGGCCCCTATTTCCTACAACCCTCAAAGGAGGGTCGTGAGACGCCCCTCCCGCCCCCGCACTAGACCCCGAAGGACGGGTCGGTGGGCTTCCACAGACCTCAAACGGCAGGCCCCCGGTTCCCATATCCCCTGTTGCCCCGGACCCCGAGAGCGGAGGTGGGGCATCCCCAACTTCACACAGCTGCCCGGGCTCCAGATTGAAGCGCAGGGCGGCGCTTCTCGGAAACAGAAACCGGCGGGGCGGGGCCGGGGGCGGGGGTGGCGGTAAAGGAAGGAGGAAGCGCCGACAGGCAACGCAACTCCACCGCGCTGGGGCTCCGGGGGTATCCCACCATGGCTGCAGAAGTCTCCCGCGCGGAGTCCGCGTCCCCCGCCTGCTCCACGTCCTCCCTGCCCCTGGCTGCTCTCAACGTGCGAGTGCGGAGCCGCCTGTCGCTGTTCCTGAACGTGCGGACGCAGGTGGCGGCCGATTGGACCGCGCTGGCCGAGGAGATGGGCTTCGAGTACTTGGAGATCCGGCATCTGGAGATGCAAGCCGACCCCACCGGCAAGCTGCTGGACTACTGGCAGGGACGCCCTGGCGCCTCGGTGGGCCGCCTGCTTGAGCTGCTCACCAAGCTGGGCCGCGAGGACGTGTTGGTGGACCTGGGGCCCAGCATCGGTGAGGACACGCGCTTCCGGGCCTCATAACTAGGGCGATGAGGGAGCTGACCTTCACCAGCCTCAGCATCTAACCTCCCCTGGAGAGGCCCTCTTTTGATGCCTGGGGTGGGGTGGGGACGCTGGGGGCAGCCTGCAGAGGTGGTACCGCTGTGTGAGACCAATTCCCTCTTTCAGTGGGGTGATAGGAACTGGAGAAAAGGAGGTGAAGGCTGGAGAGAGGCAGAGAACATAGGGAAACATCTTAGGCAAAGGCTTTCATGTAGGGCCAGGAGTCAGAATCGGGGTCCTTTGTGGGGGAGTTAGGACTGCTTCGGGTAGAGCAACAGGGCAGGTGAGGGACTGAAAGCTGACAGTTATGGAAACCTCATGTCCCTGGGAAAATGCAGCCCTTCCTGCCCCTCGCTGACACATAATATGCATGCATAGGTGTAGGAACAGTGGCTCACAGATGACGCATCTTGCTTGGTTGGGGCCTCAGCCCTCACTGCACATAACCACTGGGTCTCCTGAGCCGTTCTTGCATGCCCAGTCCCTTGCTCCCATCAACCGTGGGTCCTGGAAGAAGCACACCTTGGGTTCTGTTCTCAGGAGTTCTAGGAAGGAGTGCCAGGACAAAGGGACAGAAAGACACAAACCTGACCATGATGACTTCCCAGATGACCAGAACAGCAATGACATCCCTTGGGGATGGTCAAAAGCCAGATGGGAATGCAACTTTTCAGAGATGTTGAACTGTGGATGGCACCAGAGTGCTGGAAAAGGCCTGGAGCACAACATAGTTAAGGGAGTGGGACAAGGGCTGGATCCTAACTGTAGGTAGAGGCATGGGACAAACTGAGGGAGCCTGCCACACCTTGTCTCTTCTCCACAGAGGAGGACTGCCAAAAGTATATTCTGAAACAGCAGCAGGAGGAGTCTGAGAAGCCCTTACAGGTGCCTGCTGTAGACAGCAGTGACCCACGGACACCAGAGCGGGGGGGCATCACCATGCTTGATGACCCCTTGGGTAAGGATCCAATATTGCTCCCCAGGTGTGACAGGTGGGTCATAAGATACTGTACTGTATTAAGAGCATAGATTTTGAAAGCAGGTGGGCTGTGGCCCCTTGGGCAAGTCACTTAATCTCTCTGATTGATCTCCCCATTTTCTCACCTAAGAGATGGTAATAATAATAATCCTACCCCTGAGTTGGTATGAGACTCATGAAATGATGTGTCTGTCTCGTGGTCAACCCAGGTCTTGGCCCGCAGAGGGGGGAGGGTGGGGGGAGAGACACTCATCTTCCCTCTCCTAAGAAGGGCACTTTCTCTTAGTGTCATCTCAGGATTGGTGTAGGGTTCAAGACCAGGGTCACCTAGGCTGGGGGTTCCTGCCTGGGCTCCTCCCCTGTAGAGCTTTGACATCACCCTTGTGCTCTGCACCCAGGGCAAATGCCCGAGCGTTTTGATGCCTTCATCTGCTACTGCCCCAGCGATATCCAGTTTGTTCAGGAGATGATCCGGCAGCTGGAACAGACAGACTATCGGCTGAAGTTGTGTGTGTCCGATCGTGATGTCCTGCCTGGCACCTGTGTCTGGTCCATTGCCAGTGAGCTCATTGAGAAGAGGTTGGCTAAGTGGCCAAGGGGCAAGTGGGTGGCTACATAAAGCCCTGCCCAAGAGATCCAGATGCTGGGATTCTTCTAGCCGGGCCCCGTCTAGCCTGGGCACAGTGGACTCCTGAGTCTGTCCCCGGGGGGTATGCTGAACTAGGTTGCCACAGTGGCTGCAGTCTGCCCACTATCCCCTAGGTGCCGCCGGATGGTGGTGGTTGTCTCTGATGATTATCTGCAAAGCAAGGAATGTGACTTCCAGACTAAGTTCGCGCTCAGCCTCTCTCCAGGTAAGCACTGCCTTTGCCACAGAGGAGTGGGTGGGCAGGGCCTCAGGAGGCCATTGGTCCCTCACCCAGGGCCCTGGATGCAGCACTGAGGAACTCCTATAGGTTTCTGCACACCTGAGTGTGCGTGCACACAAGTGCCCTCTGAGTGGGTGAATGTGTGCTGGCGTGCTTAGTTGGGGGAAGGGCTGTTGTTAACCCCTGGGCGGAGGACTGATCCCCCCCACTTGGGGGTGAGGACCTGGTGCCAGCTCGGAACTCCTTGGCTTGCAGGTGCCCATCAGAAGCGATTGATCCCCATCAAGTACAAGGCAATGAAGAAAGAGTTCCCCAGCATCTTGCGGTTCATCACCGTCTGTGACTACACCAACCCCTGCACCAAGTCCTGGTTCTGGACTCGCCTCGCCAAGGCCCTGTCCCTGCCCTGAAGACTGCTGTGGGCCCCTGGGTGTGTGTGCATCTCTCTGTCTGCCCGTACGTGTACTTCTGCCCCTGCTTCCTCCTGCAGTTGTAGGGGTAATCTGTGCTCCACTTGCCTCTCAATTCCTGGACATGCTGACTCCACAGACACATCTGTAGCCACCACACATAGCTGTGGACGTTGCATCTCATGTCCTGCACGGAACCAGTGGCTGGAAGTGGCACGTCCGCGGGCTGGGTTATCAACCAAGACAGTGAAATCCAGAGCCAGCTGGCACTAAGAGGACCAGCGGAACCAGCCCTGACCTGTCCACACATCTTAGGCCTCAGTTTCTCCACCTGAGAACTAAGTAGGGTGGGGAGAACTGGCAGTAGCTGTGTTTGAATCACTATCGAGGGGGCTTAACCTTGGACAGAGGTGGGACACACATATTCCTTTTCTCTTTTTTTTCCCTCTTCATTGAAACCTAACTCTGGAAAGAACCCAATATGCCAGCACTCGTGGCTTCAGTGAAGCACAGAGCAAGAAAGAGAGCCGCTTGAACTCGCAGAGCGAGTAAGCTGCAGACTTCCCTCCCAGGGGATTTGTATGCTAGTTATCTTCAAGCTCTCCCTGGGGGAGAAAATGGCATGGTCTCAGGTCTCTGTCCCAGGGCAGACCCCAGGACCCTAAATCTAATGGAAAAATGTGTCTTTGCTGCTCCACACCCAGCCAGGGCTAGGGCAAGGTACCTTTCCTCAGGGTCTTGGGACTGGAGGCCCCTCTCTTAATGATCTTGATGAAGCACTTAGCTAACTGTGCACTTATCCTCACTTTGATCTTGGGGATTATTTTTAAACAGTTTGAAAAAAAGTATCTTTCATACCTGTTTTGTATGCACTGTGAGAATTTCAGAGAGCTGAGATATGCCTATGTTTGTCCTTTCTCTTCTGTATCCTGGGTTTATAATAAAGAGTTCTATACTTTTGGAATAGCAGGTGTCACTTGTGTCTGGGAGTTGGGAGGCAGTAACCTGGGATAAAGCTCTCCTGGTAAGAGAAATTGGCCCATTGGGTAGGCTCCAGTGGGCTTGGGAGGGGCTTTCCTGAAGGCTGGGCCTCCTCCTCACAGGTCCCAGGCCTCACCAGGGCTGCGGGCAGAACCAGGAATAGGGACCTCAGTTCCAGACTCTAGGGAGACTGCTCCCCTCCACCAAGCTTGGTCTTCCCTGGATTGTGTCACGTTTCTGGGTCCTCGCTTGGCCCTTCTAGGCTCCAAGGAAAGTCTGGAGAACTTACAGCCCACAGAACTCAGTTGTCAATAATGGTCATCCTTAAGCATATCTGTGTTAATCCTGAAGTTTTGATCTATTTTTACTTTTATTTATTTAATTTTAAGATTTTTTTTTTTTTTTTTTTTTTTGAGGGGAGCCTGGGTGGCTGAGTCGGTTAAGCGTCTGCCTTCGGCTTGGGTCATGATCCCAGGGTCCTGGGATGGAGTCCTGCATGGGGCTCCCGGCTCAGCGGGGAGCCTGCTTCTCCCTCTCCCTCTGCCCCTCCCCCTGCTTGTGCTCAATCTGTCAAATGAATAAATAAAATCTTTAAAATATATATATATATATTTTTTTTTTGAGAGAGAGAGAGCGAGCATACATGTGTGGTGGGAGGGCAGAGGGAGAGGGTGAGAGAGAATCTCAAGGAGACTCCATGTCCAGCACGGAGCCCAACATGGGACTGAATCTTACAACCCTGAGATCATGACCTGAGCCAAAATCAAGAGTCGGACACTTAACTGACTGAGCCACCAGCCACCCCTAAAGATTTTATTTTTAAGTAATCTATACATCCAATGTGGGGCTTGAACTCACAACCCTGACCGAGATCAAGAGTTGCATTCTCTACTGACTGAGCCAGTCAGGTGCCCTGGTTTTGATCTGTTTTCAAATAGAATGTCACTTTTTTTACTGTTCACTCAAGGAAATTTGGAAAATATATTATTTTTAAAAATCAGTGATAATTCTAATCCAAGAGATAACTCTAGTGATCTTTTAGAGTGCCCAGATATTATCAGTGACCATAGGTCTTCACTCAGTGGTCTTTCTGTTACCGTGTCCTGGCTCCTGAGCCTCCTGGATACTGGAGGCTCCCCAGCCTTGCCCCTGTGCCCTCAGGGACTCCTAGAAAGGCCCCGTGTATTCAGGGCAGCCCTGAGATAAGACTTCCCTCTCCAGTGTCCGCTGGGGAGCAGAGCCTCAGTGTGGTCCTGGAAGAGCCCCCCAGGATCCACCCTGCCATCTATGGCTGGGGGGAACAGTCTTTGAGTTGGCTCCTGGTCATGGGGTTGGGGGAGGGGGTCCTCCGGGTAACACCAGTAGAGTCATGGGAAACACTTCCATTCTTTCAGGCCAGGCTGGTGACCTGAATGTGCTCACTTCACTCCCATCTGATCCTCACACCTCTCCCACATTCCTTCCACCAATGCCCACTTCCCCACGGGCAGGTTCCCAGATACCAAGAAAGCTTCCTCTTCTCATTTTGGGTGTAGTCTTCTAGGAACCTTTGATTGAGAAACCCTCATTTTTCAATACGGGAAATTCACTGCTGAAATTATCAAAGGCAAAAGCAGAAAATTTTGGAGGGCAGCAGCAAAGTTAAAATACAAAACTGTAAGTCTACATGGCTGTGAACCCGAATTCTGCCACAAGTTAATGACAGGGGGAAAACAACAGGGAGAGGGATTTCCTCCAGATTAGACAATAAAACATATATAATATAGGGTGACTATGTTGGATCCTTGTTCAAACAGATCAATTGTAAAAAGACATTCTTGGGTCACATAACTGATAGAGGTTAGTATCGAGAACTCTTGCAACTCAACAAAAAAGAAATATAACACAACTTAAAAATGGGCAAGGGACTTGAACATTTTTCTGAAGGAAATATACAAATGACTAGTAAATAGAGGAAAAGATGTTCAACATCACAAATCATTACAAAAATGCAAATTAAAACCACAACAAGGGGCACCTGGGTGGCTCAGTAGGTTAAGCAGCTGCTCTTGATTTTGGCTCGGGTCATGACCTCAGGGTCGTGAGACTGAGCCCCACGTTGGGTTCTGCACTGGGCATGGAGCCTGCTTAAGATTCTCTCTCCCCCTTTCCTTCTGCCCCTCCCCCCATTCTCTCTCTTTCTCTCTCAAACACACACACACAAGATACCATATCACACCCATTAGGATGCCTACCATCACTAAAACAATGACAGAAAATAACAAGTGTTGGCAAGGACATGGAAAAATTGGAGCCCTGTGCACTGCTGGTGGGAATGTAACATGGTGCGGTTGCTGTGGAAAATGGTTCTCAAAAAATTAAACACAGAAATACCGTATGATCCAGCAATTCCACTTCTGAATATATAACCAAAAGAACTGAAAGCAAGGTCTTGAAGAGAAAGTTGTATATTCATATTCATAGCAATGTTATTCCCAACAACCAAATTCTATAAGCAATCCTAATACCCCTTAACAGATGCATGGATAAGCAGAATGTAGTACACACATACAATGGAATACTATTCATCCTTAAAAAGGAATGAAATTCTAACACATGCTGTAATATGAATGAACCTTGAGGACATTACACTAAGTGAAATAAGCTAGTTGCAAAAAAGACACATACTGTATAATTCCATTTATATGAGGTATCTAAAATAGCCCAATTTGGGGCACCTGGGTGGCTCAGTCGTTGAGCATCTGCCTTTGGCTCAGGTCATGGTCCCCGTGTCCTGGGATCGTGCCCCGCGTCGGGCTCCCTGCTCAGCAGGAAGCCTGCTTCTCCCTCTCCCCCTGCTTGTGTTCCCTCTCTCGCTGTCCCTCTCTCTATCTGTCAAATAACTAAATAAAATCTTTAAAATAAAATAAATAAAGCAGCCAAATTTATAGAGAGAAAATAGAATGGTGGTTTCCAGAGCATGAGGGGAGGAGAGAATGGAGAGTCATTGTTTAATGGGTACAAGGTTTCAGTTTTGCCCAAGGAAATATGTTCTGGAGATTGGCAGTATGACAATGTGAATGTACTTAACACTACTGAACTATATACTTTAAAAATAGTTAAGACGGTATGCTTTATGTCATGTGTATTTTACCTTTTAAAAAAAGACATTCTTGGGACAATGGGGGAAATTCGGGTATTAGATGATGCCAAAGAATGATCACTATTTTATTAAGATGTGATAATAGCATTGTGGTTACACAAGAAAATGTCCAAATTTGTTAAAGAGTCCAAATCTGAAGTATATTGGTATGAAATAAAAGATATCTGGGATTTGTTTTTATTTTATTTTTTTAAAGATTTTATTTATTTGAGTGAGAAAGCGAGCAAGCATGAGTGGGGGGATGGGCAGAGGCAGAGGCAGAAGCAGACTCCCCGCTGAGCAGGGAGCCCGATGCGGGACTTGATTTCAGGACCCTGAGATCATGACCTGAGCCGAAGGCAGACGCTGAACCAACTGAGCCACTCAGGTGCCCCAGGAATTTGTTTTGAATACTTAAGTAAATTGAGAAAAAAATAATAAAGGATATATGAAGCAAATGTGACTATACAATAGTTATTAAATTCGTTCATTTTTTCTATCCTTTTTTTTTTTTTTTTTTTTTGAGAGACACAGCGAGAGGGAACACAAGCAGGGAGAGTGGCAGAGGGGGAAGCAGGCTTCGCGCGGAGCAGGGAGCCCAATGTGGGGCTCGATCCCAGGACCCCGGGATCATGACCTGAGCTGAAGGCAGATGCTTAACAACTGAGCCACCCAGGTGCCACCCATTTTTTCTATTCTTGTGTCTAAAATTTTTGATAATTAAAAAATGTGTTACATTTATTTTATTTTTTTTAAATAATTTTTTTTAAAGATTTTATTTATTTATTTGAGAGAGAGAGAGCACGAGAGGGAAGAGGGTCAGAGGGAGAAGCAGACTCCTTGCTGAACAGGGAGCCCGATGTGGGACTCGATCCCGGGACTCCAGGATCATGACCTGAGCCGAAGGCAGTCGCTTAACCAACTGAGCCACCCAGGCACTCAAAAATGTGTTACATTTAAAAGTACAAGTGTTGTTGCTACTTCACTTGGACAGATGTCTCTCTTGCTGCATCTCCTTAAGCTAGGGTATTTTAAAATCGTTAATTAGGAATGACTGAAACAAATAATCATCTTATCTGGTTGGGGAAGTGAAGGGGAAATTTGATAATATATTTTCAGACGTGAAAATCTCATCTCTAACACTTGGTTCTGTAAAAATGACTCATTAATTTTGAGGCTTATAAATAGTATATCAAAAATATTTTAACTCAAAACATTTTTATCTTCAAAGGGACTTCCATGAATGCCATGGCATTTGAGTCAGAAGGACCAGACCCACTGATCTTGGACAAAGGGAGAAAGGCCATGGTTCCCTTTCAGCCACGCTGAAAGCCTTGCTTCGTGGCAAAGGGGGACCATGACTCTTCAGCCAAGCCAGGAAGACATGGATACAGTGCCTTCCCTCAACAATGCAGGAGCAGCCTCTTGGCGGGCCTCTGGCTGACGGAGAATTCTGAGTCGTGGGGCTGAGAAGTGGCAAGTGGTGGAAAACTGGAGTATGCCTGTTCAAACCAGTCTGGAATGATTTCAAATTCTAGAAGGTGAACTCAGAATCACAGAGCAGAACACATTGGGCCATTGTAATGGTAGGCGGGTGGATGAGGAGGGAGTTCACCATCAGTTCAGGGGAACTTTGTCCTTGCTGGCTGCTGTATGCTAGATCATGCAGAATAAATGGTCTAAAAGGCCCTGGGAATTCTGGTCCTGAGGAAATATGGAGTAAACGCACATCTCCCTATTCCCTCTGTTTAGTTAAAACAAACAAACAAACAACCCTGGACTTCATATATAATAAAATAAAAAGGAGACTCTGAAAGGTGGAGAGAAGAAGACAGACTGGCTAGGGACCTGGGGCCCCACAGAATGACATGGTGGTGATTCCCAGGGTTTTCTTTTTGCCTTATATAGCTCAGACTGAGTACTGGAGAAGCCAGCAACCCAGAAACTAATTGGTACAGACCAAAAGGAAAAAAAAAAAAAAAGGAGGGGGGAAGAAAAAGAAAAAAGGGCTTGCTCTCTCTAACCAAAGGACTAGCAAGGGGCAGCATAGAAAGAAAACTTTTCGGGGCACCTGGGTGGCTCAGTTGGTTAAGCGTCTGCCTTTGGCTCAGGTCATGATCCCAGGGTCCTAGGATGGAGTCCCACGTCGGGCTCCTTGCTCAATGGGGAGCCTGCTACTCTCCACTGCTCATGTTCTCTCTCTCTCTCAAATAAATCTTAAAAAAAGAAAGAAAAGTTTTAGATAATAACCACCCTACTCCAGCCACAAAAACTATAGAATAAACTGCAATACCACCTAGCCAAATGGGGACCTGAGACTTCTACTCCTACCTGCCAGGTGGTGTCAGAAGAGGTCTAGTGGAGAGTCAGGATTCTCACCACTGGCCCAGCAATGTGCTCCTCCCCCATGTCTGTGGGGGCCACAGGGGAGCAGTACTGATGCCTCCCCCCCCCCCCCCCCCCCCCCCCCCCCCCCCAGCCAGCGTGATATCAGCAGAGGCTCAGTGGGCAATCTGGATTCCCACTCTGGCCCAGCAGTAACGAGGTACCCCCCATCCCCACTTCCCAGGATGTCAACAGAGGCTGAGTAGGGAACCTGAACTCAGACAGCACTGAGAAGGCCTTCTAAAACAGCAGGTTTAAATAAGATCCAGAGTCTCGTAGTCCTCAAAATTTCCAGGGCTGAAAATCACTCTTCACACCAAGAACCAGGCAAATCTTGAGCAGGAAAAGACAATCCCACCGATGCTAACACCAAGGTGACACAGATGTTGAAATTACCTGACAAGGATTTTAAAGCAGGCAGTGTAAAATTTCAGGGAGCAATTATAAAGGCACCTCATTCGCTATTTGCTTTTTATTAACAAGTACAATAATGATTCCAAAACAACACCACAAGGGGCCGCTGGGTGGCTCAGTCAGTTGAGTGTCCAATTCTTGATTTAGGTTCGGGGTTGTGGTCTCGTGAGAGCAAGCCGTGAGAGCAAGCCCCCCCTGTCGGGCTCTGTGCTGAGCATGGAGCCTACTTAAGATTCTCTCTCTTCCCCCACTCCTTTCTCCCCCACAACTTGCATGCACTTACATGCATGCACACTCTCTCTAAAAACAACAACAACAACAACAACAACAACAACAACAACACAAGAACAACAACCTTAAAGTTGGAACAGCAATGAGTCAAATTGCTGCTGGAGTTCCTGAATGTGCCCGGGGTCCACGCCCTCATTGCGAGGCAGGACGTAGGCACATGACTGTGCATTTAGGTATATATATGACCAAGAAAAGTCAGAGAGAGGGAAACCACTGGAGAACAGAAAGAATTAAGAGCTTTCCATCAGGCAATCCCAAAGCACTCTGCCCTTTTCTTCTTCTTTGCCTCTGTATCCTCTGTGGTTCCTGTTCCAGCCGAACCTGTAACAATCTCAAATCGCTCCTTCCTCTTTTTCAGCTTCTCATCATCTTCAGACCTTCTGGAGCTTGAGGAGACGTTCAAACCAAATCTTTGAGCTCGTTCCTTTAGTTTATCCAGGTTAAGCATAGGTTTGGCATCAGATGACGGGCCTTTTGATGGAACTGAAGAAATCCCAAATCTCATTGCCCAGGCAGCAGTCTTACTCTCCAAGCTCACAGGTACATTGAATCGTTCAGCATTCCTGCATTTCCCTCAGTCTGTGGTATCTCCAATGTCACTTTTACCACTCTCTTCTCTGCTGCCACATCAATAGATGCTGCCACATCTCAGAGGGTTCTTCCTCTTTGACAGACAGTTCTATGGGCTTTGGTTCTTCTTCTTCTGTTTCATCTCCCAGTACATTTTCTTCATTTGCCTCCTCTTCAGCATGCTTTCAAGATATGCCTGGAGCTGGGGCGCCTGGGTGGCTGAGTTGGTTAAGCAACTGCCTTCAGCTTGGGTCATGATCCTAGGGTCCTGGGATCGAGGCCCGCTTCGGGGTTCCTGCTTGGTGGGGAGGCTGCTTCTCCCTCTCCCTCTGTCTGCTGCTCCCCCTTCACATTCTCTCTCTGTCAAATAAATAAATAAAATCTTAAAAAAAAAAAAAGGTATGCCTGGAGCCTGTTGATAAGATCTTGTTGTATTCCGCTAGTCTCCAAACCACAAGCAAGACGTTCCTGCTTTAGTTCAGCAAGCTTCAGCTTATGGAGGGAGCTCCACTGTCTGCCGCCATCTTGTGACCCCTCTAAGTCCACTCACAAACGCACTTCGAACAAAAAAATAGTCTTGGAAAAGAGATAAAAGAAATGAAGGACTAAACTGAAAATCTAGAGCTGAAAAAAAGTGGGGGAAAAAAAACCTTCACTGAATGAGTTCTAAGGTAAAATGGAGAGGACAAAGGAAAGAATCAATGAACTTGAAGCCAGAATAATAGAAATCACCCAATCTGAGCAGAGAGAGAATAGACTGAAAAAAAAAAATTAACAGTATCTCAGGAATTTGTGGGACTTCAATAAAACATGTAATATTTGTGTCACTCTGATGTGGAAATGGTGGGGTTTGGAGTTGATGGTCCAGAAAGAATTCTTGAGATGTCTTCAGTGCAGTGGTTTTGTTAAAGCACTAAAGGGACAGGACCCGTGGGGGGTGGGGGAAGAGGTGCACTGGGGTTGTGAGGAATTATACTTTGGAGTTGGGAGAAGTAAAGACAAAGGACGTTTCCAAAAGGATTTTCATATTTAAAGAAGACTGGATCTTGGAGGTCAGGTTGATATTATGATAAGGTTGCCTTTTGCCTATAGCATGTTATCATTGAGGCAACTAAGCTCCTTGAAGAAGGTCACTCTGCCTGTCCCAAGTACTTGTCAATGGTCTGTAAGTCATAAAATTTAATTTTATGTACACTTCCTTTGCCTTTGTTCTCCACATCTACTGGAATCCCAAAAGTAGAGGAGAAAGAAGGTGGGGCTTTGAACGTATTCAAAAAAAATATGGCTGAATATTTTCCAAATATGACAAAAGACCTATACCTTCAGATTCAAGACACTGATCAAATCCCAAACAAGATAACCCCCCCAAAAAAATCCATGCCAAGATACATCATAGTCAAATTTCTGAAAACTAGGGCGCTTGAGCGGCTCAGTCGGTTAAGCGACTGCCTTTGGCTCAGATCATGATCCTGGAGTCCCGGGATCGAGTCCCGCATCGGGCTCCCTGCTCAGCAGGGAGTCTGCTTCTCCCTCTGACCCTCTTCCCTCTCGTGCTCTCTATCTCTCATTCTCTCTCTCTCAAATGAACAAATAAAATCTTTAAAAAAAAATTTCTGAAAACTAAAGACAAAGAAAAAATCTTGAAAGCAGCCAGGGAGAAATGACACCTTCCCTATAATGGAAAAACAATTTGAATGACATCCAATTTCTCATTGGAAGCTTTAGAGATCAGAAAAAGTGGCACAGTATTTCCTTTCCTTTTCTTTTCTTTTTGGCACAACATTTCCAAGCACTGAAAGAAAAGAATCAACTCAGAATCCTATATCCAGTGAGAATTGGGAATGAAGAGGACATGGACATTCTCAGACGAAGAAAAACAATGAGAATTTGTCAACAGCAGACCTACCATTAAAGAGTAGCTACAGGAAGTTTTTGAAAGAGAAATTAAATGATTAAAAAAAAAGAACCTTGGAACATCAAGGAGGAAGAACTAAAGTGTAAAAAAGTCTAAAAAAAAAGTTAATATGCTTTCCTTATTTGAGTTTTCTAAATGACATCTGATGGTTTAAGCAAAGGATTAGTGGTTGTGTACAAGATAAATTAGGGAAGTTGGTAAGTATAGTTATAATTTCTCCTTCAAGCAACTGCACAATGAAAAGGAGAAATGAAGTGATGGCTGGCCAGGAGGAGGGATTCTGTGGTCCCTATGATTTCCTCTTTCCTCAAAAGATTAAAGCCCATCAGGCCCAGTCTAGTTTCCCCTCCCAGGCTAGTGTCCCCTGTCCCACATACTCACTCATGCATTATCTGATGTGATTCTCAATTTATGTAAAGGAAATATTTAAGACTGTTATAAATAGGGGCAGTTTGTAAAGGGACTTAAAGGGTAGAAACTTTTGACACCTCTTTAACACTGGTAATGTCAACACAAGTAGAACTGAGATGAAGTATATACATATAATATTATGCTGAGTACCTACTAAATATCTATACAAAGAAATACTCTCCAAACACTGTCAATAAATCAAAATAAAATTCTACTCAAAATGACCAAAATTATATGAGTGCCTGGGTGGCTCAGTGGGTTAAGCGTCTGCCTTCGGCTCAGGGTCCTGGGATCGAGCCCCTCATCAGGCTCCCTGCTCGGTGGGGAGCCTGCTTCTCCTTCTCCCTTTGCCTGCTGCTCCCCCTGCTTGTGCTCTCTCTCTGTCACATAAATCTTTCCAAAAAACGACCAAAATTATAGAAATGGAGAATAGTCAGGTGTTAGGGCTGCTGGAGGTGGGGAAATGGAGTGGGTAGTCTATAAAGAGGTAGCCAACAGAGATCTTGAAGAGCTCTGTATCCTGACTGTAGTGGTGGTTATACAGATCTCTACATGTGATAGAGGCAAAGAACTGTACACACACACTGTACCAGTGTCAAGTTCCTGGTTTGATATTGTATCACAGTTACTTAAGATGTATCCATTGGGGGAAATTGTATGAGAGGTTCAGAAACTACTCTGTACTATTACTGCAGCTTCCTG